TTATTCTTGGGAGACAGGGAAAGAATTTTTTTTTCTTGTGAGATGGGGAAAGTGATTTTTGTTGTAGGGAGACAGGAAAAGAGATCTGGGATGTGATGGGGGAAACATGGCAATTTTTGTTCTTGGGGGATGGGAAAACAGATTTTTGTACTTGGGAGACAGGGAAATAAAAGTTTCTTTCTGGGAGACAGGGAAATAAAAGTTTCTTTCTGGGAGACAGGGAAATAAAAGTTTCTTTCTGGGAGACAGGGAAATAAAAGTTTCTTTCTGGGAGACAGGGAAATAAAAGTTTCTTTCTGGGAGACAGGGAAATAAATGTTTCTTTCTGGGAGACAGGGAAATAAATGTTTCTTTCTGGGAGACAGGGAAATAAATGTTTCTTTCTGGGAGACAGGGAAATAAATGTTTCTTTCTGGGAGACAGGGAAATAAATGTTTCTTTCTGGGAGACAGGGAAATAAATGTTTCTTTCTGGGGAGAGGGAAATAAATGTTTCTTTCTGGGAGACAGGGAAATAAATGTTTCTTTCTGGGAGACAGGGAAATAAATGTTTCTTTCTGGGAGACAGGGAAATAAATGTTTCTTTCTGGGAGACAGGGAAATAATTTTTCTTTAGAGATAGGCAATAGAGATTTTTGTTCATGTGAGACAGGAAAAAGATTTTTTTTTTTTTCTTGGGAGACAAGGAAAGAGATTTTTGGTTTTCGGAAATGATTTTTCTTTCTTGATGAGAGAGAAAAAATTTTTGCTCTTTGGAGGCAGAGAAAAATATTGCTCAAGTGCAAAGAGAAGAAAACCATTACTTTTTTCTAATTTAGTATCATATTACAAGAATTTGAAGAAACTCATTTCTTTTTGAAAGATATTTTCAAATTTAGGATTAAATTTTATCTATGTTTTTATTTTCCATACTATTGATTTTTTTTATGTTTTGTTTTTCTTTCTAGGTAAGTTGCTTCTTTTTAGTTACCATTGACTCTGGGGAGAAAACATGATTCCTATCATCTAGGGAAAAGAAGACAGAAAGCAACTGGTAACCATCCAACTTTGGCATTTACAAATTGATGCCATTCACTGATGTGAGAGGTAAGGCCAATGAAATTACCAAAAAAAATGTCAATTCTTCTTTTATTGTGTCTACTTTTTTACATCTGAATTTAATTTTAAAACTTTTTGTTGGAAAAAAGGATGTAATAATCCTGGCTTATTTTCACCACTCTTTTTTTCCATCATTGTTTCTGTAAATAAGATTGAGGAATTGAGAAAAAAAAATTCTGGTGCATTTGTGAGGCAAACCACTAATTCCATTGGTGTTTTTGTCTTGAAATCTTTCACTGCTTCTTCTTTTATGTGCTGCGTCCCTTCAGGATATAAGTGACTATGGTTCTCCACATCTTCCTATCCCATAAGTCTCTTATAAGTTTTTTTCTCTCTATTCACACAAGTTGATCAGGTAAGTGGCTTACTGCCTTCCTCTATCTCTCTTGTCATTAATATGCCGATGAGAGTTTTCCAATCCATCCTTCCTCATTATGTGTCTAAAGAATTTTAGATATCTTGATTTGGAGTAGAAGTGTTTTTTGTTGCCATTTTCTTTAAGACTTCCTTGTTGATTACATGTTCCAGCCATGGAATTTTCAGTATCCTTCTGGAGAATCATATTTCTGCAGCCTCTGGTTTTTTCCAACCTGAGGAAATTGTCCAACATTCACTGCTATATAAGAGAATGAATATGATATAACAACCTGGCACTATTTTCTTTGTTACTAACAAAATGATGAGGAATGCATAGACTAAAATAATTGATTATATGTGAGTGTGTGTGAGGGGTATACATATAGGAGCTATAAAAATGGGTATGCAGTAAATTTTTAACATACATGTGTTAGCACGTGCAATACCCTGTCTTCATCAGCTACCGACCAGAGGTGATATCACCGTTTCAGGGGCTATGGCAGGACCGCCACCTCTGGCACCACCACCAGCAGCATTTGCCACCAGGCAGGGTATGAAGGGTAAATATTCTACCAGTATTACGATAAATGGTTCTAGCAGTTATTCAATACTAGAATTTATTTAATTCATTAAAATCATTTTTAATATTTTTATTTTCATAATTTTTATTATAACACATTTATTATAATTTTTTTTATTTTTTTGATAAATAATATTAATAAATGTTTTTCAGGTAAAGAGGAGTGTGTGAATGATGGGGGCAAACATTTGAACATTTTATATATATATATATATATATATATATAGGGATACAAAAGTAGGAGGTATGCACGGAGGAGTAGTAGATAGTGGTTTGGACTGAGGGATCAGAGATCCAAGTTCAAATTCCAGTTGAATCCATTGTATTCACTTACATGCTAATACTCTTGAGAAAGGTATTAATCCTCTTCTTCTCCCTCCAACTATGGGTAAATAGCAGGACAGACTGGATTCTATAGCCTTCTAGAAGAAGGACAACTATGAATTCAAAACCTGCAGAGGGTCATTTGGAGACCTCGTGATATGTAGTTCACCAAGTCTCTATATTCGGCCCTTCAAAAAGTATGGCTAGTTCTGCACAAAGCCTTCACCAATATCATCAAATCATATGTGCTGGTGTCTGGGCTGTCGGTTCCTAGGAAGTGAGCTACTTGACCCTCATACATTAAATACAACAGGAGAGTTCACCATATATATATATATATATATATATATATATATATATATAGAAACTCTGACTGGCACCAAATCGGTTGGGTTTCAATGCTGGCATTCGGATGTCTAGTTGCACTGAGGAGCTGTGATGCAGCAAAACAGTACTGTCTGCCAATGACATACATATATATATATATATATATAAAGAAGAAGAAAAACTGTTCTTATACAACACATTCATCCTCTGAGAGACTTTATCAAGTCAAATGTAGGATTTATTTTTGTTGCACATGTTTATATATAATAGCAAAGATATCATTGGTTTATCAAGGTTTTTAAATTTGAGAATGTTAATGAATATTCATCAGGTGGTTGAAAGGTCAGTCAAAATTTGTGGAGGACACAAAATGCCATACTTCAAAGTCTGGGAAGATAAAATGTAATATTCAAGATTTGTTTTTAATAAATGAATATTGTTTAAATTGTGATCACATTGTTATGGTTTGGGATAGACATGTGTCCTGTACATCTTCAAAAACATAAGGTAATGGATTTAACCATTTTCTTTTGATTTTCTTTAACATTTTTGTGGCCATGAATAATGGCTTGGGAAAGGTGAGATTGAAAAGAAACTGGGGTGTAGATTTATATTTTGATAGAATTCGATAATTGCACTCACGAGGATTTTCCTTCAACATAAACTACTTTCCCTTTTGATAAGTATGGCATTTTTAGATTAAAACTGTCCTCTTGTCTTTTTATTTATTTTTTTCCTTTACAGATACATTCTATCTGAAAATAATTTACACACACACACACACACACACACACACACACATATATATATGAATATAAGGTACAATGAGTAAATTGTCACCATGCGCATTGTTTGTTTTTTATTTTGTCAACTGCACACTATAGTAGGGACAGTTGGGCACCATCTGTGAGAAAAAGAGCACCGTGACACAATTCACTCCACCAAAAATTTGAAAATGTACTGCTTGGCATTTGTGCTTGAAGCTCCAATACGAACATTTCCGAGTGTTTGGGTGTCAATCTGAGGACAGTGCAGATGATTTGGAAAGAGTTGGATTAGTCTAATGGCCATTACGAAGCTCAGAAAATTCACTTTGATCATTCTAAGAAAAGAACTCCCTTTTATGTGTAGAGGTGCGCAATATCAGAAATAGAGCATATGTAAATATGAAATTGAACGCTGAGGTCAACTACCGGTAGCAACAGTCTGTTTCATGCTTAAATGCAATTTCAGGCCATGTGTGTTGTGTTTTTGCTTGGCTATTTACATATACTGGTGTTATATTCCGTGCTAAGGGAATAAATACTTAACACCAGGTGGATAATAGAAGAAAGTTTTATTGTACACAACCAGTACAATATGAAATATGGTACAGTTATACACACAGGTCAATCTAGTAGTGAGTGCCACTAATTGGAAGGTCGGACGTGCTTGCATTGTCTCTCTCTCACTCTTCCTCTTGTAGACAGTTGACTTTATAGGTACTTACTACATCTAATGTAATCCTTCATGGGGGTAATTGGTTATTCCATTACATCAACTGGTCAGTGGTGCATTATGGGTAGAATGTCTTTTGTATTATGCAAACGGTTATTGGGTAGGTAGTTACGGTTATGTTTCAAATCATTCCAGAGGTGATTGAGTAGAAATAATTGTGGATCTAAATGTGGTTATTTGTACCTATTTTATTGTATTAACTTTTTACTTGTTATTTATTATTGATTATTTAATTATTTGTCATCAATTATTAGTATTAGTACTTGTGTTTATGTGTACATTTGTAGATTATTAATTTGTTTATTTACTTAAAATTTCGTTTTTTTTTTTTCTTGGGGCTTGGTTATCTTATTTTTTTAGTTTAAAATATCAGTTTGTCTAAAGCATGCTACATTATTTGTGTTTACTTATTTTACCTAGTTTAATGATTCTTACTTTGTACTTATTTTTATTTGTTCTTCAGCTAAGGAGATGGCATTGTCTAACCCCCACATTTTGTAACACTGATGAAAACCAGTGGAATGGTCAAAAATACTAGGACTACCTTTCCTCCAATTTCAACTATGGCCTGTTTATTCATGGATTTCTATCTAATGTAAAGTGCTTGGATTGAATCCAGGAAAAAAATTTAATGAAAGGCATGGCCATTTTTTATACCTGCATTAAAAAACTTGCTGCTTAAATATACATTTTACACACACACACACACAGGTCAATATATATATATATATATATATATATATATATATTAAGACATTTTATGTTTATACATTCTTTTTATAGATAAACATAAAATAATTGTTGGACTTTGTCCATTTCATAATATATATATATATATATATATATATATATATCACTGCCATAAACAGACAAAAATTAGTTTTATTATTACCACTCATGATAATAAAAAGTAAAAATGAAAAATGGGCTAGCTAACTGGTTTCATACCTTGGTCAACAGAGCTAAATCAAGGTAAATAAAGTAAATTATATATATATAAAAAAAAACAATGGACAAAGTGTATTGGGGGAGAGAAAAAAAATGATTAATTGGTATCCATTAAGCATTGTTCAAGCAATTATTAAGAATAAAATTGTTGAATTCAACAAAGTCAAACCTGCTATAGTAAAAAGATGTCCTGTGTACCTATGCTTTCCTTGGCTAGGTAGTATCAGTGATATGTTTGCTAAGCAGGTTTCTACCGCAGTTCAACATTGTTACTTTACCACTAACACTCGTGTTGTTTTATCTACCAGGCCTGTCCTTCCGTCTATGGGTAAGGATGTTCTCCATCCACATCATAATAGTTCGTTAATTTATTTAAATGTAGTTGCAGTTCGCACTACATAGGGAGAACAACGCAAAGGCTGGATGTTAGAATAAAACAACATATTCTAGCTAAAATCTGAAACCTTAAGTACATTCCCTCAGACATTTTGACCAATACATACAGGTCTTCC